TAATAAATTAGCATATAAGTTTTATCATCGTTCGTCCAAAATCGCGAGTAAGCTGCTCGTGGCTAGATGAGCTAAGACCTTAATTTTTTTTAATTAATAAGAGCTATCCTGATCTCATTAATAACTCATATAACGAAGAAAAATGACTACTGGAACTTTACACCCCTCGATTAACTGGTAAGATAAAGCTATTTTTAATATAAAAGTCATATAGAATTGTAATATATCAGATATAAAAATAAGAGGAAAAAGTTAGTTGTCGGGTCCAATTTGTGCATTCGGTAAAGACTTTGTAATAAATGAATTTTGATTTCGATGCGGTTTTTGTGGTCATTCAGATCACATTAAAAAGGTTCGATATTATAATACATTAATATTTATTGTTGTTATTAAAACGAATAACTTTACATTTATAAAGCATTTGACCGGTCTCATGAATGTCATACATACAAATCTGCTATACAATGCTCAACTTGCCCTACGAATAAAATTTACTTTACTTTTAAAAATGTAATCAACTGCAATAAAAATATATTTATTCCTTTATAATTTTTTTTTGTGCTTCTGTAATAACTTTTAGTTTTAGATAATAGGGTCAACTAACTTTTGAGTTTCATCTGCAGAGGCTTAATGATATCAGGCTAGTAAATCTCTTTAAGTTGTTGTTGGTTTTCGAAGTTGCATTTTGGCTTAAAACTTACTATAATAAAACAAATAGAAATAGAGGTAAAAAGAATGTCCACAATAGGTATATATGAATCTCAGAAATTTCAAATATGTGAATCGAAATAAAATACACTAATTATTTTTAAACAATAGGTTTTGTATTTGAAGAAAATATAGCGCATTTTTTGTCGATAAGAGGTTAACGAATGGCACAAGTATGTTTATAAAAATAACTTTTCTGTTTTTAATTAGTGCCTTAGTTGTGCGAAGATAATTAACGGTATGAAGGATTTTACATATATGTAGTTAGTGACTTAAGAATTCCTTAGGTACTTTTCTTTAATTGTGCGGAGACAAAGTCGCGGCTAGCCAGTAATACACAAAACTACAAATTCTATGAAGTTCGATGTAATAAAGGTAATCTATACTAATATAATAAAGAGTAAACACTGCTTTGTCGAGTAGGATGTCAGCAATCACAACATATTTTTGAATCATTATATTTTAATAAAAAGCCCTACACCTACGACACCTTTTAGGTTTTACTATTTATTATCACGCTATTTAACTTTGGGGTAATTAAATTGAAAAAAAGACCTTCATGTGGGAAAGCAAGCATAAACAACAAACTGCCAATATTAAGGAAGCGAGGTTGTTATGGTAAGGGTAATTTTGACATTTACAATTGAGAATTTGACAAATGTAAACAATAAAATATAGTTATTTATAAACTCACGCGGATAAAGCCGCTCGGGAACAGCTACTTTAATATAATTTTATTATTAACGAATTGTAGCAATATTAAAGGTTTTGTATATATTTTTAGATCTTACATATATTTTTGTTTAAATTTATATCTAAACCTGATAAGGTTTTGTTAAATAATTTATACACATTACTTATGTATTCTGAAATCCGCGCCCGTATGCAATTTTCTTTTCTTCGTTTCGCTCAAGCAATAAAATTTAAATGTACTGAATAAAAACCTTTTACAATTGGCAGCAGGTAATCAGGTGGGTAAAGACAAAGCGTTGGAGTCCTTTGACTTTGTAAACGTCTGACACCTTGACGCGTCCTCCACATCACTGACTCATTGGTGATCCAAACGTCATTTAAAAGACCATGCAAAGCTGGTCATTCAGATGTATTATTGTTTTTTAATTTGTTACTGGCTGTTGACTGTGACGAAATGATTTTGTAATATTTGTGCAGATTTTATGAAGACATTCTTCTCTCTTCGTTCTGTATTCATATCTCCTAATTATCTAGTAAATTCTCCTAACACTACCATTGGTACGGTTAATACACTGTACTAAAATATTACGTCAATACCAATTTCATATATTAACTCGAGTACATTTTAAGGATTTTCGGTTATTATTGTCACATATGAAATGCAAATAACATTTTATGTTATACATAAACATTTTATATTCAACCTTTAATAATTAAAAACTTGCACAGTCATTTAACGAGCAAAGGTTTCGAGCTAAATGTAAAGATATGTTTTGTCAGCAAATTATAATTACAAATATGGTGGACGGAAAGGTTGTTCGGTGTTATAAAAAAGGACATCCATGTCTCCCACGTGACCAAGTACTAAGGGGTTTTAATAATTTTAAAATTGGTTTTTTCAATACGGAATACTGGAAAAATATCATGATTCAAATTTTTATTGACAAAATAGTGTTTTATGGATTTCGAATCTTTGTTTGTTATAATTATAATGACTAACCTTTTTGCTATTCTTTATGTGGTATTTCACTACAGAACAAATTACATTTACATTATGTTTTGACATAATGACTGTTATCCAGTGACGAGTTTATCAGGAGTTGTTAATTTTGGAGTTAAATTAAAATATTTGGAGAATAAATAGGACAATAATAATAATAAGAATGCCTTTATAGCATCATTCATGATTCATTTATTCTCTGCTGACGCTGTTTACAATGTTTGCACTTGTATGCTGTACGGCAGACGGATAAAAAGCAATAAAAACGTCCTGCAATGTACGTGTGGCCAGTGGAGGTGTCGGTTGTCGGCAGGAGCCGTGCGGCTGACACGAGGCCGGTGGTGATGGTGACGGTGACCTGCCGTCCTTGCGCTGACACGCGCACGTCGCACGCGCGACCCTCTCGTCTCTCCTTTTGATATCATAATAACATCCAACAATTGCACACCAATACATCAACAAACTGTAACACGAATACAATAGATGCAAATCTAAATATGAATTCCGTACGTAGAAGGGCATATCAATAACATAATGGTATAATTATGTAACATTACGTTAGACGTGCAATAACGAAATATCCTAAAAAGTTACTAGTTCGTCTTTCAGGCGTCTGGAGGTTAAATCAACGTCTCACTACGATTCGTAGATATATTTTATTATGTAGCCAGTCGCTGACGAGGATTCCAGATTAAATTTTTAAGACTTTTTCATCCAAGCGCAGAATGTTATTACTGCTCAAATTGAAAAGAAACATTGTTCAATGAATACTTTATTTATTTAAATTCAGTTACGATCAAAGGTCTCGCGTTCATACGAAACATTTTAAACTGTATTCTATTATTTGTTAAACGTAGAACTTGTAGTTATGGATTTTTTGAGGTTTTACGAAACTTATAAAAAATGTTATAAATTGATTATTTTAATATTCCCTTTGCCGTTACTAGGGCTGATACAAATAACGTTCGAACAGTAAATTAGGGACAGAGTAACCATGTTTGCTATATCATGGTACGGACGGTATACTCGTAGTGGCACCGTAGACGATAATTGTAATGTTTTTTTCCATTCAATATTTTTATTTCTATTACCATTATTCAAAGCCATGACCCGCAATGTCCCAGCTTGTTACACTAACCGACACCCCGTGCCTTTTTAGTGCTCTACATTTGTTTTTTTTGTTTACAAGTTGTTTTAACATCGTTACAAATAATTGCTGTGTAAAAATAATCTATTACAAACTTGAAAGACGAAGTTTTTGAAGTAAAACAGTGATCGCGTAAGGTCAAGAGGTAAGCGATAAATACCAATATGACATTTATTTAACCTTTATTTGACCTTGCAATCATTAGTTAATTGATTAACCTTACCCTAAATTAGTTTCACATATATTTTACTACTTAAAAGTAAATAAAAAAAATGTTTTAATTAGAAGCTATGAAGCGTAAATCATACCGTTAGCACTGATTATCAGTCGAAGAAAATTTAAAGTTTAAAAAATATGCAGTCGATCATTAACATTCAATGATGTAGAAGTTATTTTTAAGGTTATAGAAGTACAGTTTAGTTAGTAACAAAGGTAAAGTCGTCCACAGGACGGCTAAGGTCGGATAGGGCGCGGGTCGCCGCGGGCGGCGCGAGGGCGCTGCAACTTGCCCTTGCCGCACAGACCAGACCAGACGGTGTATGCACCCTGCACTGCCCGCCCCTCCGCCACTCACACCGCCGCCTCACCACACACCCTCACACCCTCACACCAACAGGCCGTGATGCTGCATTTTAATGACATCGAAATGAACTTAGACAATCAGAAAAATATATTTAAAAAGCTTTTAATTGTGATCTCATTAAAACAAATCTATTTAAATACATTTTATTATTAAATGCCTTTTTATTATGAACATCTTCCAGTAACCTAAGTACCAGAGAGTACATATATCAATGCAGTGCACGTAAACTGAACACGTCCGACAAATTGATGTCAACGCCTTCTCGAACCTCCGTTTCTCAAATTTAATTCACGATAAGCAGCAACACTTTTGTATGCGCCCGCGCACAATGCCTATTCAGAGTTATTGAGGACCGCTGAATCGGCAATCGGCGATCCGTCCGGTCGTTCACCCTTCATTATAAATTCATCACAAGGATATGGTTGGAGCAGGACAATGTGACTTCAAAAATTTATCGGTACCAATGGTAGCTTTATTACTATTGCGAATTCTGGTTTTTAAATACTCAATGTGGAACATGTGACAGCTCAGGAAAATATACCAGGTTTTTTCAATTGAGAATTTTATTGTTTCAATCGTATTTTCAACTATTTCTATAACATTTCGCTAATTGTCCGTTTCGTATTAATACTAAATTAGAAATGAAAAGAGTTAATTCATTTAATAAGTTTTATTGTATGTGGTAATCATTACAAAAGTTAAATGAATTTTAATTTTGATATAAGATTACAGTAGTTGACAATATGTATTTTGTTTTTTTAATACGTACTATTTAAATGGGTGAAATATCTTTAACAATAGCCATAATTGCACGACCCACTCGTACCAGAGCATCCAGCAGTTTGGCGGTGTTATCTATTAATTGCTTGACCAGCTCCTTGTCTATTTTTAAATTAGAATTTTCGAGTTTCTTCAAACTCGTGATTTCCGTATTTGCCATTACAATCATGTCTTCTTCCCATGCTTCAAGATCAGTTATTAAAGCATCCAATTGACTTTTATCAAATTTCTCATTTTTCTTTTGCAATGAATTGGTTACTAGTGGTGGTTTTTCTGGAGAACAAATACAATTTTTCATGTAGTGTTAATTGTGTGTGTTAATGCGCTTTGTGTTCGAAACTAAGTAGATACCCTGTATGTTTCCTTAATGCTAAAAATCAAACGAATTAAGAATGTATTTTACTTAACATGAAACGAGGGTGCGAAAAGGCTTTTGTGAATATTATTAATTTTTATAGCAATTATTTATTTACATCGTGACTAAATTATCTTAATCAAACTAAAATGTCATACATATCGTAAACTTTCACCGAATTGCGAGCTGAAGGTATTCAACAATTTTTCCTTCACAAAGATAATTAATTTAACGATTTTTATTGTATATAGAAGAACATAGAGATGTAAATCTGTTAGTATTTCTTATCAGGCTAAAGAAGCTTGCAACACTTACCAATTCTATTATTTGAATGGTTGGCTTCATCCAAAGTTTTACTTTGAATGATAGCTACGAAAAAAAACAAGACTAATAATTTGAACAACATACTGATGCTATAATAAATCAGTAACTGCAAGAATAAAGAATAGTATGATACTATTTATACTATAGAAATTTAACGTCAAATGGTTTTTTCTTGAATTTAAAATATTTAACTATCAGTAAATACCTTTATGTTTTCCGGTTTTTAATAAGCACAATATGAAGAAGGAATTTTCGTAATTTTAGATTTAACTAGCTGTTCCAGTGCGACTTCACCCGCATGAAATGATGAAAATTTTGTTTTATTTTTTACATCTGTCAAATTGGCAATTTCAAATGTCAAAATGACATGACACGACAACCTTGCTTCCTTGATGTTGGCAGCAACTTATGGTCTCTTTCACACATTAGGGTTTTTATCCAAAATATTTACCCCATAAGTTCAATGGCGGTAAAATATATAGCCTAAAACGTGACGCAAGTGTAGGGCTTTTTATTAAAAAAAAGAATTAGTCAAAAACATGCTGTAATTGCTGACATCTTAGGCAACAAAGAAGTGTGTGTTTACGCTTTATTATAATAGTATAGATAATCATAATGTATATTTGTTGTGATAAAAATGGCATCAAAAATATGTCAATTATTTAAAATTGGTGTCATAAAATGGTTAGTATTTTCCATGCTTTACATGAAAATAATTTGTTACGATGCATACCTTAATTTGTATATACTTGGATTATAAGAGTGCTGGATTTGTTTTGCTAAAACAACAACTTTTACGGCATTATTACAAAAAAAAAGTGTAATGCCTTTGAAGATGTGTTGGTGTAAACTTTCAAGTTATACTTTGTACTTTTTATAACTTGATTACTTGTGTAACTCGAATTATCTGGTGTTCCACTGACTACCAAGGACATGGATGTCAGCAATGATTTACTAACCTGCTGCATTTAATTAAGTAAATCTACATACTACGTAAAAATAGACAGTAAATGACACTTAGGGTCGTTTAAATATCACCAAATGTACCGGTTGCTTAACTTTAAAACGGTGCCGTTTACAATTTTTTTTAAATATCAGTAAAACTTTGGTAATTTACTAATATTTTCTTTAACCATTCAAACTAAGCTCTAGGCTTGTGCTAGGATATGGTTCACGACAATAGTCGAATGATGGGATTCGAACCCTGGACCGCAAGATCGGAAGTCCATACCCCAAACCATTAGACTCTTGGCGTTTTAACACAGAAAATGCATGATCGCCTTCTCTCTACTGACATTCTAACCGTTGTATACAACTTGGGTATATTTATTTGCTGTCGTTGTTCGTATTACAATGAAAAGGTAACTCACCACCTCCGTTACGTTTTTTAGATCGCAAAACTAACATTGTTTACGAAATTAGTATATTTACTTCCTAGGCTGGTGAAAAAGTATCACTAAACCCTGTTACACATCTTCTGTCAGTGAACAGTTCAACTGTACAATTTAAACTTAAAGTGTGTAGCAGAAAGTGTTAAGACTGAATGTGGATGGCTACAAAGGAAGAGGAAGATCTAAGAAAGTATGGATGGATTGTGTGAAAGAGGATATGCTTAAGAAAGGAGTGGATTCAGATATGACGGCTGATAGAGATGTATGGAAGAGCAGCACATACTGTGCCGACCCTCCGTAAGGGATAAGGGCAAGTGGATGATTATGATGTGTAGCAGGGTTTAGACTGGCGAAGAAAACTAATACAAAGTATAGATTGATTTTACGTTACATTTAGTGAGTTCACCGGAGTGTCTTTTTTCCTGATATTTCAGATATTTTAAATGAATTAGAGCGAGCGCACACCCTTGAATAAACTATCGCACAACTGTTTAATTGTGCATTGATTCCTATGACCTTATATGGAGGTGCGCACATTACTCGATTTTTAGTTGTCCAACTAAACAGTTGAATTGGCTGCAAGACAATCGCACAATAGTTGTGCGATAGTTTAATCAGAGGTATGCGCCCGTTCTAATGGTTAATATCAAGTGCATTTACTAAGCATGGACTGACAAAATTAAAAATAAAAAAAAAATTGCGGTATTGATTACTTTATTTGTGTTGTAAATAAGTAATACATTTTAAAAATATATGTAGTTCTTCATGGGTTTTTTGAATGAATTATTTCTTTGATTATGCGGACCTCCTCTGCGACTACCAAGCCGAAGTCCTTCAGGGCAGTTATCAGTTCCATTACATCTTCGACTATTGCCTTATATTCCAACTTTACTTGACCTACGTTTCCTTCGGGTTCGGGTTCTTGTCCACCAAACCATCCAAGACCAATGAATATGTCAGGAATATTATCTGGAGGATTGTAATAATCATCTCCAACAGCTAGGGTTTAAAAAAAAATGTAAATTATTGATTCACATACACATTCACGATCGTCAAAACTTCAACATAATTATGTAATTGATGGAAAATTTAACATTTTCGTTTATATTGAAACCTTGAAATTCTATTGTTGAAAACGATATCTTGTATTACAAAACATATGTCTGTTTAAAAAAAGATCGATGTTATAACACACATTTGCTATCAAACACTGAAAAGGAGTAATTATTAAGCTTTGGATATACCTTGTAGGGCTAAGGGTTCTGGATGTTGTCCTAAAACAGCAAAACTCGACAATAAAATACAAGTAACCACTTCAAATAACATTTTTGTTAATGGTCGAATGTACGTTTTAAAAAACCTAATTACCAACACACCTAAACATTAATGGCTTCGCATAATTTATTTTACCCTACTTTTATAGGCGTAAAAACATCAAATAATTAATATATTCAAACAATTCTTCAAACATGATATTTAACAACTTTTACAGCCAGTAAAGGGTAATTTATAGCTTTAACATTTCAATTATGTTTATGTATTATACATAAATACATATGTATTTGCTAAACACATCTATCGGTATTTAACATTCTAAACAATACAATAAACAAAAAATGCGTCTTCTATCTTTATTGTTACGAGTACTAGTTAATTAGTAAATGCGAAAGTTTGGTTTGATTTCTGTCCAACCATTTGTTATTACGTAACACAAATACTGTAGATTATTCGATCATGTACTTTGTCGAGTTTATAGAAGTTAGTACAAGGTAATTGGTAGTGAAAACTGAAAGGTTGTAAAAGGTGGTAAAAATTGGGTGTAAAGGAATGTGAGTTTTCATCGACAATGGCACTCACCTGATCACTTCGCTAGAGCTAGCCAATACAGCAAACGTCATCAGTAACTACAGGCCTATAATTATCACATCCTCAAATGCGATCATCATCATCATCTTTGTCAGTCGGATGTCGTACACTGCTGGAAGTAGACCTCTCCCATCGATTTCCACAATGGCCGGTCATGTGACCGCGACCTTGACCAATAGAAATGCGAATCCTAGCTTGAAATGCGATCCCAATAATACAATTTGAAGAACGCCTAATCATTAAGCAGATGATAGGCGTTTTTAAAATACTTTTGAATGCGCAGCACACGGACATTTGTTCGTCTTCGCCTTTGCATCCGTTCAATGCGGTTTAAGTGTTACACACTTATTAGGCTGCTACGTGATTTTGGACTAGGATTGCTAGATGGCAACATATAGTTTTAGGATATTCATGTCATGACAAGGGTAGTGAAATTTGGGGTGGTGACTGATATATTAATGCACAACCTAAAATACTAGGACTAAGATCTTGATATTTGAACATAGAATACTGATTATACAAAAGTAATTTTTCTAATATCGTCCCGCTGAATGTCTAGAGTAGGTGTGAAATATTGTATGAAGAAATATGTTCTTTTCAATAGAACTAAAAATTTACGAACATTTGCAGAATAAGCAACTAATTACTTGCTACTTTACTGACTTTTTAAATTGTAGTTTATATACGGCCTTAACCCATTTTATATTTAGAAATTATTTTTCACACCTAAAACAAAGGCTTTAGTGATGTGAAATTTTGTATAGCGATATCAGTAACTACGTGGGTCTAAACAAGAGGGTGGAATTTTTAACAGAATAACTTACAAAAAATTATCAAAACACAATACAAATAATTAATTAACTTTATTGAATAATCTAATAATGAAAACTTTTCTCCATCTGATTAAATACATTTGCAGCAGCAGCATAAATAAAAATAAATGGAAATGGTTGCTATACACTTTATTTATTAATTTTTGCATAATTAGGATTAATACAAGTAATGTAAGTAATAATAATTGTGTGACTGGAGAATAATTGTTTAAAATCACAATTATTTAAGACATATACCATATTTATGTAATTAAAAATAAAATATACTTTTGTTGGTGTTTTATAGAATTAAGGAATATGAAAAATACTTTTTATTACAGCGATAATTAGTTGAACCTCATTTTTGTATAAGTTTATAATTTCTTTTATTATCTCAAAGAATTTTATTAAATCTTCTATTAACTTTTCGTTATCTTTTATTTCGTAAGATGTTCTTTCTTTGTTGTTTTTGACAATCGTTTGGGTATTTAATGCAGTTATTTCCTTTTCCTCTAGATTCCTTACTCTTTTCAGAATTTCATTCGTGTTTTGAATTGATAAGCCCTTTTCGTCATTAACAGCGTCCGTAACTGAAAATAAATTAGTATCATAATGAGGTAATTGACTTGACTTTTAATTATTACAAAATAAGTAACAACTAATTCATACAAAATCTTTTAGAACTGGTTGGGAAAATACACGAAAATGAAAAATAATTATACTTAATTCCAAAATACATTACCAATTATATCACCATGCAAATACGAGTTTTCAGATTTTTGCTTACTCATTCCCAATACTAAATCGGTAAGCAATAACGATAAAATTATTTTAACAATCATTTTCGTGCGTCTTCTACAACCATACACTGTTAGTTAAATAACATTTAAATTGTAAATTTTATAATAAACAATATCAGAGCCAGAATTTAAAATATTCTGTTTATGATAACTGTACAAATTCCTACATTAAAATGTATGGCATATGCAATGGCATACTGTCTTTTACAGTGATTTTTACGTGAACGTAACTTATGTATCTGTACTATCTATACCATCATTCTATACTTAATATAATAAAGCGTAAACACACACTACTTTGTTGCGTAAGATGTCAGCAATCACAGCATATTTATGAACAATTCTTTCTTTAATAAAAAGCCCTACACTTACGTCACGCTTTAGGCTATATATTTTCACACTATCAACTTAAAGGGTAAATAAAT